CTTTCCCCCCCCCCCCTTCTTGTTTTTAAAAGTAGTTGAGGAATTAATGGATAGGCTTGCATAGATTCAGAATAAGTTTTCAGAAGCATATTCAAAACCTTTTCTTCTATAGGATTAGGCACCATACAAAAGCAAACTAATGCTCAGAGACTTAGATAATTTGAAAGACATGCTGACTGTGTATATACATCATTTTATCCTGAAATGGAGAAAAAGATGAAAGTTTACCTTACACTGACTGCTGAAGTAGAATTCCCTTTAAGATCCTCCACTACTCTCAACTTTTAAAATACATTGTTTAGCTAAAGCTTACCTTTATGGTCTGGAATAAAATATCTCAAACTACGTTTTCTCACATTCTGGATCTTCTTTGTAACTACCCCAGAAACACTTAATTCCTTACCCCACTCTCCTCCTAACAGCATTGAAAAGATAATTAAATACATCTGTTCATTATTGCATGCAGCAGAAGTCCCTTGGACAATAGGTAGTGTACCTGTATGCACACTTTGCATCGGCTGTTTTAGTTGTTACCGTCACATGGGCAACATGACTGATGCTGGCCAATGCCTAGAGAAAGAGAAAGCATCTTTGTCAACCTTGTGCTGGAGGCCACTGAGGAGCGTCCACACTGTAAACAGCACCCCTGAATTTCACTATACCATTTGGAAATAATTAATAAATGCTCTTACAAGGAAATTCCAGGTCAGTAAATCTTTAATAAATTTTAGTACCTATAACACTGACTTTTATCCAGGACCTTCTTTTAGCTTTTCTAGAATTTCATATTCTCTGACAATGCAAGCAGCTAACCATGTGACATAACTAAAAGAAATTTGCAAAGTTATTACAGTTGTGCCCTTTCTTTCATGTTAACAAAAGACAGCTGAGAGGTTTTGGCCATTACCCTCTCACCCCTGCCCAAGTTTTTCTCCTGCCTGTAGACAATATTACAAACTTTGGTTACAAAGGTTTTCCTGAAAAACTCAATGGATATGTCTGCACAGCCTGCTGAAACCAGTCTCAGGACCAGACTCTACTGGCTGCAGAGCTGATTAGATGGAAAGCATGTGAGGAGAGGCCTTGGGGAGTCTGTTCTCCGGAGCATGCAAGGATCTACGTAGCTGAGCACAGCCAACGTACTTCTGTATCTTGCTGTCCATCTGGAGGGGAAAACAGAACCCATCCCACACTGTTCCTTCAGACACAGCCTCTGAGGATACGGAGAACTAGTACATATGAGGGGTCAGAGATACTAGTTTTGACTAATAGCAAAAACAAAGGAAGACAAATGTCCATTTCAAACATTTAGTTTT